TGGTTCTTTGTGGAAACACTAACCTAAGTTCTGAGTTGGTGAAAGGTGTGCTCTACTCACACCCCCAGCAGCTCCAAGTGAGCCTGTGCTTCCATTTTTATGGGGGTCAGAGAAGGGTAAAAGACTGACATCACTCATTTTTTTTGCCCTTTTTGGAAAAGTGGCTTGAAATTTGCTATGACACAGGCAGCTTGGGACTAGCCCTTCCCGCGCACCTTTGACTGGAGCTCTTGCCATACTTTGTTCTGGCAAAAGCAGGTGGTTTTTTTGGGAACTTTAAACTTGCCCACTCAACTTGCTTATCAAAGCCACTAAGGGGTCCTTTATGCTTCTCTGTCCCACCAATCCCCAGCCAGAGACTCCCCTTAGAAAAGAGGCAGTAGGGAGGGGATGGGCAGGGGTCTCTGCCACCATCCAGAGTTCCTCAGATCCTGGCACAAAGGCCTTGGCTCTGGGCCTCCCAGTTGGGAGGAGGGGCAGGAGTGGCTGCCTGGCCACTGTGTAACCTTCAGAGGCCCCCAGAGAAGGGCACCTGGCCTGGCCCTGCTTAGAACCTCCCCTTGTGTGCCCCCTGCCTAAGAGGGGGTGCAAAGTCTCTCTTCCCTCTCCCCATTGAGGCTCAGATAGAGTGGAGGACTTGGGGAGATTTGGGGAGGACTTAGGGATATTGTGGGGAGAGTTGAGAGATTGAGGTGCAGAATCCAGGGGCTCCCTGAGGGAGCTGCAGTGGGAGGCTATCCCTTAAGAAAGTCTTCCTCAGACCTTGACCCTGGGGGAAAGACTGGGGGGCCTGGGTAGGCTGCTGTTAGGGGGTCTGTGGTAAAGAGAAAGAGACAGACAGAGGGTGGGATTCCCTCCCAGGGGAGTCCTATGGAGGGCCAGGCTGGTTTGGGTGGTAGGGACCTATGGAACAGGTGGCTGGGGAGTTGGTAACAGGAGACCCTCAGGAAGGCCTGGAGGGCTTTGCCTGCTTACTCCTGTCAGGTCCACATGGCCGTCTGTTGACCTTCACATTTTCTGAGAAGGGGAGAAATGAGCTGGTGGGGTTGGGGAGGGTTTGAGGGAGGTCTCAGGTCTGGGGTGGAGCAGGGGACCCCTTGGGAGCAGGATGGTGCTGAGGAGGAAGAGCTTCCCTGACTACATTTGGGGAAAGTACCCAGATAAGACAGGCTTGGGGACAAGGTGGGACAGGGAGTCCAGTCAGATTTTGGAAATTCATTCTGGCTGACTGGGGTGGGAGGAAAATGGGGCTCTCCTTTTCCTATGGCTCCCTTCCAGCTTTTCACCCTCTGAGCAACCTGAGTTGTTGAGTATTTCTGAGGCCTCCAAAGAGTTTGGGTGGGGGAGGGTAGTTGGTGCCCTTCGGTCCTCAGCACCCCCGCCTCCTACACCAGCTCACCCTGGTATTTGTCATGTCAGCAGGAGAAGGTCACCATGTTGTTTTTCTCGCCCCCAGTCCTTCCTTCCTGCCCCAGTCCAAATTTGTCCTCCTATTTGACCTTAATACTTACCCATGGCTTTGGACCAGGGAATAAGGGGGTGGTGAGGAAAAGGAGCGATGCAACACTAAGAAGGTGCTGGGGGCCTGAAGAGAGCAGCGTTCTGCTGTTTTCCTCCCTATTGTGAGCTCCCCAGCCCCCAACATCTGGTTAGTCTTTAACTTCCATGGGTTCAGAATTGGAACAGTCCAGGGGTGGTGGGTATGCTCTGGGCCTGCAGGGATCCCTGTTTCCTGTTGTACTCAGAAACCTTGGAGGCTGGCAGAGACTGGGGACCCAGTGCCTGGGCCTTTGCACCTCTGTCCCCGCCCTGCCAATGCTTGCCTTTTGTTTTTCCTCAGTGGTCCCAGGCTGCACCCACGGCAGAAGGAGAGCAGAAACCCCATGAAGGTGAGTCCCCCCCCCCCTTGCTCTTGGATGAAATACCCTGTTGGCTCAGGGGGTACATGGGTAGGACCTGTCCCTCTTTTTCAGGCCTGGGGTTGGGTAGGGAAAAAGCATATGAGAATCAAGGTCGTGTGGACACTGTAAGGTTAACCCTTCCATTTCTTAAGGTGTCTTCTGTTAAGGTCTCTACTAGAAACAAGACTTGTTGCTTTTTGTTTTTTCCTTCCACCCTTTACAGTAAAAATTTATCTGGAAAAGAAGCTGTGAGCATAGATGAGGAAGGCAGTGTTCAAGGTTTCCAGATATCCAGGGAGGTATCCCCTGTACCCCCTGTTCCCAGGGAGGATAGATGTACATATACAGTGCCACTTCTTACCCAGCAATGGGCCACCCATGGGATTTGTGACTCCTCCTGTGTGATCTGGATAGGCATGGGGCTGAGGGATAGGGGGACATTGTAATGGGACTTCCCCATGTCCTATCCCCTAGCCCCAGTTTGCAGTCCTTTGAGGGTGGCAGAAGCTCCGGTGGACTGCCTTTGGGTACTGTGAACTTCCCTCCCAGACCAGCAGAGGGCCGCTGTAGCTCCTGGGCGCCCCGCCCCCCTGCCCAACCCGGAGTCTGCCTGCCTTTTGTTCCAGTGTGGTTTGGAGTACCGGGATCCTCCCATTTCTCTGGGGACGCCCTAGCTCTCTGCACTCAGTGTGGCCTCTGCTCCTGCCTGGTACCGAGCCTCCAGCACCCCTCCTCTGAGGAGGGGAGGTCCTGGGGTCTTTCTCCAGGCTAGTTTCCGTGACCCAAATCCAGTGTAGCTGCAGTAGCCTTCAAGGGCTGGTGATGTCCAGCAGTTTTCCCTCCTCCCCCACCCCAGGAGCCCTTTCCCTGGCCCAAGGCCTGGCTTTTTGCCACTCCTGTCCTGGGCCACTTACAGGTCCCTACTCCCAACGTGCAACCCATCCCATTCGGCTTCCTAGTGGTCTCTGTGGTCTGAGAGAGGCAAGACAAATGGTCTTTGTTTGCTGGAGAAAAGGTTGTCTGCCATAAATAAGGAATACCATGAAAGCCTGATGTTGGAGTGTATATGTGTACATGCCCAGAATGGCAGGACATCTTTTCTTGGGGGCTGGGACTGGGCTTCCATGGGTGCTGGCCAAGCTACCCTAGCCACCTCCCATAGATGTTGGGGGATTCTAAGAAGCTTTTTAAAAGAATTCTAATCATAGGTCTTTTTACCTTCAGCTTCCAGCCCCATTCATTGCCCAGGCCAGACCTTTCTGCTGTCCCCTCCTATGTGGGGCCACTAACTAGCCCAGGACACCTCTGTTCTAACCATGATGAAGGGTCAGTTAGAAAATCCTGGATTAGTCATCTCTCCAATATAGACTTGCTTTAAATGATTTTTCAGATCTGGTCTCATGGACTGCTTTTTGGCTATATTTTAGGTTAACCCTTTGGGGGTAGACAAGAATTCTGTGCTTGTTGTCCAGATAAGAAAAGTAGTGACCATGATGAAAGCGGGGGTTGGGCGGTGGCTTAGGTTCCCCTACTCTTTCTGTTTTCACATCTGTGGCCATCTGCCTACCTTTTCCTCCACTCCCCAGTTTGTCCCCAGCCAGCCTACTGTAGGCATGCCTCTGAACTTCATCTTCCTTGCCTTTCTGGAAAGCAAACCTTGGTGGGAAACGTGAAGGGGAGGTTTGGCTGTGGCCCCAGGTGTGTATGGTGGGGGAAGGGAGGTGTAGTCTATGGAGTGTGCACTTAAAATGCCTGGGTGACATTCCAAACTTTGTCACCTGAAATGAGTTGTTCTCAAGACTGGCAAATGGAGACAGAACCCCACATTGCAGCCTTTAGAGGTCAGGCCAACCCACTTATACAGAGGAGTTGAGTCAGAGGCTCAGAGACAGGAGGGAACAGTACCAAGGTTGTACCAACTATTAGCCAGAGCCTGGGTGCCCTGTGGGCTGGTGTTCCTTCTTCCTTCACTTGAGGAACAGGCTTAGGGATGGTCTTCGGGATGTGATCAGAAGTAGAAGGCTGAGCCACCATTTGGAGCCATCCTGCAGGAGTCCTGTACTTCTTGAGCATCCCACCCCATGGCCTCTTCCTGCTCCCATGTACCTCAGACCGGGAGGCTGTCTTTCCCCCATCTCCCTCCAGATCAACTTCTAGAAAACTATAGGCAGCTCATCCTCTTGGGCGGAGTTCTTAGTGCTGGCCTGGCTGGACCTACCTGGTGTGCCTGCCCAATGCCACCTGCCGATAGGTCTTCAGCCCACATTTAGGGATGGAGACTGGCAGATGGCAAGGTACCTCCTAAAACTTCTATGTTTGCACATGACAGATGTGAGAGAGCTTTGCTGTCGGAGCCTAGTCTAATTGTACTGCTTACTAGCAGTGTGGCCTTGGGACAAGTTACTGAGTTTCTCTGAGCCTGTAGATCCCTATTTATAAAATAGGGTCCTGTCCCAGTAGTATTTAGTGTTACCATGTGGGGAGGATTGTGTGTATGTATAGCTGTATACTGTGCCCAGCATGTACTTGGTGTTCAATGAGTGGCCGCTGGTATGGTTGATGTTAAGGCAGTAGTTGTATGGAGATTATAGGAGAGTGGAAAATAGGTCTATCCATATTCATACTGTCCTCTGGTGTCAATGTTGGCCCAGGAATTTGCTCTGCTGTCACAGTGAGGAAGGGAATTAGATGTGGCAGACCGGCTCCCCTGGACCTAGTCCTGGAAAGGAGGGAGGGGCTCCAGTTAGATTTGGGGAAGGACTTACCTGATAGTGAGTACCTTTGATGGAAGCTGTGAGGAGGGGCCTTATAGAGCTGGGCGGAGATAGAGGCTTTTTTTTTTTTTTTTTTTTTGCATCATCAACTGGACTCATGTATTGTCCTTCCCATGCAGTGGTGAAGTTTATGGACGTCTTCCGCCGCAGCTACTGCCATCCAATCGAGACTCTGGTGGACATCTTCCAGGAGTATCCTGATGAGATTGAGTATATCTTCAAGCCATCCTGTGTGCCCCTGATGCGGTGTGGGGGCTGCTGCAATGATGAGGCCCTGGAGTGTGTGCCTACCTCGGAGAGCAACATCACCATGCAGGTGGGCACCTGTGGGACTGGGGGCAGGGGGTTCAGGGAAGGGTGTTAGACTCTGGAACAGGTGGTCTGGGCCCTTGCCTGGGAAGCTCTTGGTAGAAGGAGCTGAACTGAGGTTGGGGGTGAGGAGATGAGGTGTATGTGTTGGAGGGTCTTGTCTACTTTGGGGAAGAAGATGCCTGCATTTCACAGCCCAGGTTCTCAACCGATTGACCATTTCCTCTGCTTTGCTGACCTTTGCCCCTTGGGCTCAACAAGGGGCTGATGCCTGTGACAAGAGCCCTTCTCTTCCTCCCTCTAAGAGAGCCTGCAGGCTTTCCCCGCTTGAGGGTTCTGTTTGGGAAGCTGGATAGGACTGGTCTGTGGAGAGTGAAAAGCCAGTCTTGGGTTGCTACTTAGTGATGGGGTGGATCTTGGCCCAGACAGGGTGGAGAGTGGGAGGGGGCTCTGAGACATGGGGTGGGTAGTTCTTAGGTAGTTTCTAGAGATCGGGGTAAAGTTTGGAGGGGATGAAGGAGGGGAAGGGATGGGGAATGGTGAGAATCCAGGACCTGAATTCCCAGCCTGGCCAACCCTTGCAGCCATATCAGCCCTCAAGAAGAGCAGGGGCTCTTTGAGGGGCTCCTTGGGGCCAGCAGGGCTGGGGGAGTTGGGGTGGCCCGAGGCTCTTTTCTGGTAGAGCCTTGGTTCCCTAGCTCCACCATCTATCCCTGCTCAATAGAACTCCTGGGTGCTAAATGGCAGGAGCCCTGGGGTGTCCCATCTGGGTATGGCTGGCTGGGTCACTAACCTCTGTGATCTGCTTCCTCCCCCTGCAGATCATGCGAATCAAACCTCACCAAAGCCAGCACATAGGAGAGATGAGCTTCCTACAGCACAACAGATGTGAATGCAGGTAAGGATGGAGCTTCACACTCTTGTAGCACACAATTGTGGCCCACCCCAGGGCTTAGCATGTTACACTTAATAGCCCATGTCCACTTTCCAACTAACTATGTGATCTTGGGCATTTGACCTTGGTGTGCCTCTGTTCCCATATCTAGAAAATGAGCACAATAATTGAATGTACCTCATCATGTTGTTATAAGGATTAACTTGGTAATTATATATGAAGGGATTAAGATGGTATTGCTACCTCATAAGCAACCATGTGTTACTATTATTGTTATTATGACCCCAGTAGTTACCATCATCTTATTTCTCTGTGTCTTGTTTTTGTCCCTTTCTCTACCCATCGCAGACCAAAGAAAGACAGAACAAGGCTAGAAAAGTAAGTGGTCACATGTTAGCACATCTCAATAGTTATCTTGGTTTGGGGCTTTTGGCTTCCTCTCTTGGGTGTTCTTACAGCCTCAGTGGGTTGGAGTGTTGGTCTGGTTGGGGATTATCATGGCATCAGTGGGATGGAACCAACTTCAGGATCATGGTTCTAGGATGGTGAAGAAATCCAAACTAGAGCCTCTTGTTTCCTCTGAAAAGGATGCTGCCTTCCAGGGTTCAGATCAGTCCTGGCCATCACTTGCTGTTTGAAGGGTGTGCTGGAGGGGCTGTGTGGACACTGGCACCCACAGCAGAGTAAGGGAGATGAAGTGGGTGGCCATATATAAGAGGAAGTGTCCTTGGCCTTGTTTGGTGACATTTGTGGCAGTTTAGGTTTCTAGGGTCTCAGGAGGTTATTGGTGGTGTATCTGCTTTCCTACAGAAGTGGGGTAGGTACAGACATAGCCCTCTTAGCTTTATGAAGCTTGTAGTTGCTCCCTGTGGAAGGGTCAGGTCAGGATGGGGTGGCAGATGAGGTCTGGGAGAGTTGGTGGCTGACATCAATGGGGAGATGAACTTACAGGGAAGGAGCGACTGAGAGAGAGTACCCATGCCCTCCTTCCCCTCACTGCACCCCTTCCTGTCTACCCTAGCACTTGATGTCCTTAAGCCTGAACCCCTGCTTCCCTTAAGCCCTCAGATTCCTGGATGACTGTAGCCGCCAAAGCAATGGTCCGGGAGTGTATGGGGGAGAGAGGGGGCACACTCTAGGTGAATGACCACATGTGGAGACCTTCCTCCCAGTCTTCATGCTTTCTCCTGAGGGACACAGGCCTGCCCTCTTCCCAGGTCCCTCCTTTCCCCTCTTTCTTTCTTTGTGACAGACAGGCCACCATGTCCTCTCTGGGCTCTGGCAGGCCTAGAGAATGCTTATTCCCTGGAGGATGGCAGGCTGCAGCCTGTCTCTGTCTTTTTCCCTAAACACTTGCTTTGCCCGTGGGGAGAATGGTAGGGCTCATGTGGTCTCAGAAGAGAGGTCTAGTGAGTTGTGTGGTGACTTTGCCAGGCTGGAAAGAAAAGTCCCTTCCAAGTCCCCAGGGCCCTTCTCCAGCCCCCTCTCACTCCTCTGAATCTATCACCAGTGCTGGGTTCTAAGGACACCCAGCCCCTTCTCCCAGCCAAGGTTACTGCTGGGCAACTGGTGCCTCCATGCCCTCCCTTGGGTTCTGTGCAGCTCCCAGAGTGACTCTTCCCCCATACCAAGAAATTGTGAGGCAGGGCCCCCACGAGGACCCCTTGCTATCACACTTGGAAATGAAGACAGAGGTGCTTGAAGCACCTTGAACCCTGCATAAAGTTACAGATCTGATCTTCTCCTTCAAGTCTGGCCTATACCTTCTTTAGCCTCCTGACCTTCAGGGTCCAGCCTTAGCGGCTAGCTGGGCAAAGATCCTGTCCTGGTAGCCTTTTGCCTTGCCTGGTACCAGGGACTGTGTGAACCTACAAGCCCTTAGACCCTATGCCTTTCACAGTCTCTGCCCCTACCCAGAGCCTTGCCTAGAGCTGGGTTGTCACGCCACAACAGACGAAGTTGAGGAGAACGAGGAGCCGTGGGATGGATGCTGCCCCAGACCACCCATGCCTGAGCTCCCTCTTTTTTGGAGGCTGCTCCAGGGGGTGGCCTGTGTAGCTTTGGTTCTCCTGTTTCCACCTCTGGCCTTTTCATTGCTCCTCTGTTCTCCTGTTCCCTCTCGCTCGCTCGCTCTCTGTTTCTGTTTTTATATTTTCCAGAAAATCAGTTCGAGGAAAGGGAAAGGGGCAAAAACGAAAGCGCAAGAAATCCCGGTTTAAGTCCTGGAGTGTGTACGTTGGTGCCGCTGCTGTCTAATTCCCTGGAGCCTTCCTGGCCTCCAGTCAATCCGCCTGCAGCTCCCCTAACCCTGCCACCTCCCGTGGGCCCCTCTCTGGCTCTTGCCCTGACCTCCTGCTGGCCTCAGTGTCTCTTTCTCTCACTCACTCCACTAATGGCACCAACGGGTAGACTTGGTGGTGGTGTTGCTGGTTCGGGGTTGGGATGGGGATGGTTGGGAGGCGAGTGGGCCTGAAGCACCCAGGGAGGGGACTCTGGCTTGGCTGGGCACCGATTTTCTCTCACCTACTGGACACTGGTGGTGGGACCCATGTTGGCATGGGTGCTGGGCATTGGGGCCCACACACCCAACTGGTTTCTACTGCTCTAGGCTCCTGCACACATTTGGAGGCTGAGGGTGGTGTGCACAGAGGGGAAGTGTGAAATGAGGAAGGGTGTGATGGCAGGAAGTGGATTGTTGTGGGCTGAAGGCGAGGTCCAGTGGGTCAAGCACTGTGTGGTGGTTCCCTTTCATTTGGTGGAAATGCCTTGATTCCTCTGGACTTGAGGCTGCTGGAGGGGAACCCCCTCTCTATTCCAGCTCAACCTACAGTACCTATAGAGGTCTCCCTGCCACTTTCTTTGGGTTACAGGTTGTGGTGGGCCCTGGAGGCCTGGCTGGTGGACAGTGCCTCTGGACTTGGCCTGTTGTGCCCTGTGCTGGCCCTCTTTTGGTGGAGGGGCCTGGGTAGAGGCCCCTTTCCAGGGAGAAGTTACCCCTGGTGATCTCATGGGCTGCTTATTACTGTCCCCAGCAGGTGAAGAGTCAAGATATGTTCTTTTGGTGACAGCATCAGTTGGGGCTCTGTGGCCCAAGATATGCCCATGTCTTCCTAGGGTGCGGCACTGCCCCTTACGGCAGTCCTCTGCCTGCATTCTGCCCGCTTGTGCCCTCCTCTTCCTGTGGGCAGATGTCCTAGCCAGTGCTGCCTCTTTCTGCCACTCTGTCTGTCTTCTGCTATGGCGCTCGGATCTTTCCAGGATGTGGAAGGGCTTAGAGGGCGATGAGCTGGGTTGGGGAGCTGCTGTGGACATATTAGGGGGTATTGCATGGGTTTTTTTCTCTCTTTCCGCTGATGCTCTAGCTTAGATGTCTTTCCTTTTGCCTTTTTGCAGTCACTGTGAGCCTTGCTCAGAGCGGAGAAAGCATTTGTTTGTCCAAGATCCGCAGACGTGTAAATGTTCCTGCAAAAACACAGACTCGCGTTGCAAGGCGAGGCAGCTTGAGTTAAACGAACGTACTTGCAGGTTGGTTTCCAGAGGGCGAGCGAGTCAGAGAGGGGCAACGTAGACATGGGAAAGAGAAAGAAAGAGAGAGACAGAGAGAGCGCGCTTGCGAAGGGGCCAGCTGCTCGGCTTCTAGCTGCCTGCCTGGTGATTGCTGCTTTCTCTATTCCCAAGGCTGTGGGGCCGTGGGCTCCAGTCTGGCCTGGCAGGCCTGCTCTGAGATGGCCCTGGCTGCCTGAATGGGTAGGCTGCTGTGGCTTAATGTGGTGCTGTGGACGCAAGCTGTGTGTTGTGTCCTGTGGTCCTGCTGCTTGTGGAGGCTGTTGGTGCTAATGTTGTTATTTCTACTGCTGGTGCAAATGTTGAAAAACTAAAAGTCCTTCTGGGTATGAAATGATGTCTAACAGTGTGTTCTCTCTGGCTGCATCACTGCCCTTTGAGGATCTATGTAGCTAGGTGTCCTGCCTTTCACAGCTTAGTGTCTTTTTCCCGAGCTGAGGCCCTGTCTCCTGCAGACTGGGGCTCCCTGAGGACTTGCCATGTCCTTTTCAGACTGGCTTCTTGAAGATAGCCTGTGTCCCTCAGATTGGGGCTCTGTGAGAACAGGCCATGTCCCCTGCAGACTGGGGCTCCCTCAGGACAGACCATGTCTTCCTCTACTAGGCTTTCTGTGGACAGGCCATATCCTTCTCAGACTGGGGCTCCCTGAGGATAGGCTGTGTTTCCCTCAGATTGAGGCGCTCTCTGAAGACAGAGCTCTGCTGTTGGTTTAGGAGAGGAAATTCTTCCTACATGGTGCAGGAGATTTTAGCATCTGAGAACACCACATAGCTTAATCTTGTATCAGTCAGTGTGAGGATGACACCCCTGAAGAACCTTCCCATTTCCAAATGCTCCCAGGGTGGGTGTAGGAAGCGGCCAGGCCCACTTTCCTAGTATGACACTATGAGCACCTAAAGCCTGGGCCTGATTCATATCCAGGTGTCTGTATTTCTGTCCTTTGTCCATGTGGACCAAGGAAGTATCAAGTGCATGAATGAATACTGTATATGACCAAGTTCAGTGGGGAGGCCAGGAGTATAGGGCTATGACTACCAGCTGAGTCTTTCTATGCTTAGACAGGCATTGCTTATACCAGTATGGCCTGTCCTGAGGGCAAGTGTCACCCAAGGAGGTGGCCCAGGTAGGGCCAGACTCCCAGATAGTGCAAGGATGTCTTGGAGTCTGCTCCCTTCCCCTAGCCTGAATTCTTGTGGCTTGTGGATCTCTGAAGACACCAGGGACCAGGTGTTGGTTGTTGTGTGGGGTTCTGTCTATGAAGTGCTATGTGAAGACAGGGTGTATCTTAGTTCTGGGGTAGGACTTTTCCACACTCTAGGGCTGGATGAGGGGGCTCTGTTCCCCAGAGTACTTTGAGGAAGATAAAGACCTTGATGTTGTAAGGTTTCTGGAGTGGTGATTCTCCATGAGGACTGTAGATGGGGTGACCTGAGAGCTAAAACTTAAGTTGCCTGACTTCTAGAGACCTGACCCCTATTCCTAGGCTGTCCTCAGGGCAGAGACTGCCCTGTCTCCTCACTGCAGGGATGCAGGGGAATGAGCATGAGGAAAACGTCCTTGGAGGCTCCCTGTGCTTCAACAGGAGTAGGAAAGCCATTGAATTGCCTATCCCTAGCCTAAGTTAAACACCATGTGGGGAAGGACAGGTGGCCCCATACCTGAGCCTGCAGCTCAAGGCCTGTAGCCAAGGCTGAGAAGTGTGAGGAACACAGATGCTCTCTTACCTTCCTGGGGTTCCATCTCCTTCCAGCTCCCCTCCCTTGGGCATCACATATCCCCAATGGCAGTCTTCTGTCCCTGGCCTGGCTCAAGGTATTTTTCCTTTCCCCTGCTTATTCCCTAAACCAGTCCATAGAGCCAGAGCTGAAAAACCTTTTGCAGGAACCCTCTCCCAGTTAACTATGTCTAACCCTGTCACCTATCCTCTGTGGAATGTCACATAGGGGCTGTCCTTTGATAATTGCTCATCTGTTGCTTTGTGAGGTACTTCCATGTCTGTCTTGTCTTTTATAGGTTGCAAGTTCTAGAGGGCAGGGCCGGGTCTCTCCCCCTCCACTGGGGCTTTCTATCCCACCTGCACCTTTGGGAGCTCTGTGGCCACAGGATTCAGGAACCCAGGGGCTCCCAGGCCTGGGGATGCTGCCTGCCCCATTTCCAGGCTTCTTCTGTGGCCCTAATCCTCTACCTCTCTTTGCCATTCTCCCCAGATGTGACAAGCCAAGGCGGTGAGCCAGGCAGAAAGGAGCCTCCCTCAGGGTTTCGGGAACCAGACCTCTCACCAGAAAGACCGACTAACTATGTCGCCGCCACCACACCGTCATCGTCACTGTTGTCACCAACGACAGAACAGTCTTTAATCCAGAAAACCCGACATGAAGGAAGAGGAGACTGCGCAGAGCACTTTGGGTCCGGAGGGCGAGACTCCGGCAGAAGCATTCCCGGGCGGGTGACCAAGCACGGTCCCTCGTGGAATTGGATTCTTCATTTTCTTTTTTTTGCTGCTAAATCACCAAGCCCGGAAGATTAGAGAGTTTTATTTCTGGGATTCCTGTAGACACACCTACCCACATACATACATTTATATATATATTATATATTTTTATTCTTTTTTTAAATTAACTTTGCTAATGTTATTGGTGTCTTCACTGGATGTATTTGACTGCTGTGGACTTGAGTTGGGAGAAGAATGTCCCTACTCGGATCCTGACAGGGGAGAAGATGGAATGAGAGACTCTGGTGTGGAGGCCGAGGAACTCTCCCCTGCCAGGGAACATGCAAGGCCAGGGCACGGGGGCACATTCGGCTCACTTCCAGAAACATGACAAACCCATCCCTGGCCCTGAGTCAAGAGGACAGAATGACAGATACAGAGACAAGGATGCTGGCTCCCCCCAGGAGTTTGGGGAGCCTCAGGACACTTCATGCTTTGTGGACCCCCGCTATATGCTGCAAAAGCATCTTGCCCCTAGGGGCACTGCCTGAAAGAATCAGGAGCCTGGCCAGCCCTCAGCTGCTCTCGTCCGCTTCCAAGGCTCCCAGGAGGCCTTCCATAGGTGTTTTGGCTAAAGAGAAGAGACGCTGGTAGAAGTCAAGGCCTGGTGACAGCTTCTCCTGGGAACCCCTGGTCTTCTCCCTGCCCTACTTCCTGGGTACAGCCCAGGAGGACCTCATGTACTCAGACCATTGAAACCACTAGTTCTGTCCCCAGGAGACCTGGCTGTGTGTGTGAGTGGCTAACCCTCCCCCATCCCATCCCATCCCTTCCCGAGGCACAGAGCAGTGGGGCTGGACCCACATGCCCCTCACGGAGGCAGAGAAAAGAGAAAGTGTTTTATATACGGTACTTATTTAATAGCCCTTTTTAATTAGAAATTAAAACAGTTAATTTAATTAAAGAGTAGGGTTTTTTTCAGTATTCTTGGTTAATATTTAATTTCAACTATTTATGAGATGTATCTCTTGTGCTCTCTAGCTCTCTTATTTGTATTGGATTTTTTGTGTATGAAATCCATGTTTCTAATCTCTCTCTCCCTGATTGGTGACAGTCACTAGCTTGTCCTGAGACGATATTTAATTTTGCTAACACTCAGCTCTGCCCTTCCCTTTTCCCCACCACACATTCCTTTGAAATAAGGTTTCAATATACATTTACATACTATATATATATTTGGCAACTTGTGTTTGTATATAAATATATATATATATATATGTTTATGTATATATGTGATTCTGATAAAATAGACATTGCTATTCTGTTTTTTATATGTAAAAACAAAACAAGAAAAAATAGAGAATTCTACATACTAAATCTCTCTCCTTTTTTAATTTTAATATTTGTTATCATTTATTTATTGGTGCTACTGTTTATCCATAATAATTGTGGGGGAAAAAAAGATATTAACATCACGTCTTTGTCTCTAGTGCAGTTTTCCGAGATATTCCGTAGTACATATTTATTTTTAAACAACAACAAAGAAATACAGATATATCTAAAAAAAGCATTTTGTATTAAAGAATTGAATTCTGATCTCAAAGCTCCTCCTGGTCTCTCCTTCTCCCTTGGGTCCTCCTGCCCCGCTTTCCACCCTTCTTTGGGGAACACAGCATTTGTCTCAAGTCTGGGAAAGGGATCCTTGGGGTGTAGGATATGGGGAGACCCATGCATTTTTGTCTCAATGTAGAAAGTGGGTACTCTGGGCATGGGTTGAAGAGGAGACGGCTCCTTGGCCAAGGGTCCTTGCACTAGGCACAGCTCATCTGGGATTCTGCCCTTGTTAAGGAAGGAATGGACCAAGTCTGTACCTCCTAGCTCTGGAGAGAGGAGAGGGCTGTTGGCTATGGGTCTTAACAGTTGCTGCTGGCTAGGAGTGGAAAACCGGGAGCTGCTGGGGGGCTTTGACCACATATGCAGTCCTATACAGTGAGTGGAAAGAGTTGTGTAATCTTGGTTGCTCCCAATGAGCTCCCAGACTCCCCTTGCTGTGTAAGCCCTTTTGTCCTATCCTGGTCCCACGGAAAGTGGACCCTGCTTGTGTCTTTGACACAATGAGCAACATGTCCAAATCTCTGATTCTAGCGTCTTATTCCTTCAAACCACAAATAGGGTTGGGTAAACACTGGGTTGGCCATTATGGTATGCCCTAGGGTGCTGTTATGAGTAGGATAATTCCACCCCTCAGAAGAGCTATGGAGGGTGAGTGGTGGGAGACTCAGAAGTATGCATCTAAGAGTAGAGTAAAGCACTGACCATGCCAGAAGCATCTTATCTAGCTTGGGTTAGGGGCTCATGGTGAAGACGGCTTCTCAGAACATGGCCTGCAGGCCACCCTTTAAAGGATGGATGAAAGGCAAAGGATTAAACTCCAGGCAGAAAGGGTGACTGAGCAAAGGCCTGGAAGAGAGACTCTGGCAGGGAGCCGGGGAGGAGAGAGGCAGAGTCTCATCAGCAAGAGCAGTAGGGGGCTCTAATGGGGCCCCCTGATTCCAGATTTTTTTTTTTTACCGAGGTGCCTGACAACAGTGTGGGAGGGTGTTGCAGATCTCCAGGGAGATGACTGAGTGTAGTGAGGTGATGTGGGAGACTAGCAGTGTGGCTGGTAGGGCATACATATACGTGGAGAGGAAGGGAGGCAAGGTCCTGCCCTCTGGAAGCTTTGGCATAGTACCCATCCTTTCCCAATCTTTCACTGCATGTGGGTTGATGCTGAGTCTGCAGAAGGCCTCGTGAGGTAGGTGCTCTTGTCATCCACCTGGAACTTGGCTGGACCTCTAGCCTGGTCTCCCAGATTCTCCTCTGGCCTCCCTTTGGCTGGTTCTCAGGCAGTCAGAGTGAGCCTGGTAAAGGAGGAGCCAATCATGTCACCTTTTGGCTCAAAACCCTGTAGAGGCTCCATTTTACTTAGAGAAAAAGTCAAACGGCCTTAAAAGGCCCTTGCACCATCCATCCGTCTCTGCCTCTCAACAACCCAATGTATTCTCGCCTGTCTTGGGCACAGGGCTCCCACCATATTGTTCCTCAAACTCAGTGGTATTCTCTTTCCTTGGGGCCTTTGCACTGGCTGTCCCCCTCCCCATTTGGCACCTCCACCCCACATAGAGTCTGCTTGGCTTACAAACCTTCAAGTCTTGTCCCAATCTTGGTGAGGCTTCCCTTGACGACTACACTCAGTTGACCTCACTCTGCCTCTGAAGTTTCTCTCTCTCTCTCTCTCTCTCTCTCTCTCTTTCTCTCTCTCCCTCTTTCCCTCCCTCCCTCCCTCCCTCTCCCTCTCTCTCTGTCTGTACATGACGTGTACATATGCATGTGGAGGCTAGAGGTTGATGTCAAGTGTCTTCCTCAATAGCTGTCCACCTTATTTTTTGAGACGGTATCTTTCACTGAACCTGGAGCTCAGTGACTGGCCAATAAGTCCGGGGATCCACCTGTCTCCACCTCCTCAGTGCTGGGATTCCACGCCACACACCTAAAATGGGGATTTCTTTCTTTCACTGAACCTGGAGCTCAGTGACTGGCCAATAAGCGTGGGGATCCACCTGTCTCCACCTCCTCAGTGCTGGGATTCCACGCCACACACCTAAAATGGGGGTTTTTGTCTTTTCTATTGCCTCTCTGGCTCTTAGAACAGTGCCTGAAATATGGTACGTGCTCAATCACCATTTGTTAGATGACTGTTGAAACAGGCTTGGAGACTGCCAACTTAGTCTGAACATTATGGCAGTGGAACTGGATATCTTGCAGGGACACCAGGAGAGGTTGGTGGGAACTTGTTGGACAGGTGGGGATCTGAGCAGGGCCAGGCTAGGAAAAAATGAAGAATCATTCAGCCAGTAGGAGCTGGAGCAGAGGCCCCTCCCTCAATGCCAGGTATTGGCTCCTTTGGCCACCCTGGAGATGAGGTTCATTAGTATTACTTAGTAGAAGAAAGTCAGGAGGCCCAGAGAAGGTAAATAATTTGCCCGAAATTTTGCACACCCAGTAAACAGCCCAGTGAGAATTTAAACCAGCTTTCCCCACTCCAATTCAAGTGCTCTTCCCACCCCACCACAGCTGCCCTGGGCTAGGGCAGGATACCAACAAATAAAAACAAATCGTCTAGACTGAATACAAACAGGCAGAAGGAAAGTGGGACAGGGGGGAGGATGTAGCCATGGCCAAACCTGGGGCTGAAATCCAGCTTCCCTATGCATGCTAGGCAAGGCAAGCAACGTCTCCAGGGGCTGTGGCTCCTCGCTAGATCGGAAACCTAAGCACGCAAGAAGTTGCAACATGCAGATCTGGATGAGAAGAACTGTCTTAAAATAGACTATGGAGAAGAAAATGAAAATACTTTGTCTACCAATTGTATGAGAACTGAGCAGACACCCTCTGGAGCCTCCCCAAGGCTCCTTCAAGGCTCACAGAAGACTGGATCAAGGCCAAGGCATACCCTACCCTACTTTGAACTCTGCTCTGCCTTGACCCTTTCCATTCATGCAAAGGAGCTACATCCAGTCATGACCTGCTAAGACCTTTAGAGTCCTTGCTTCTGGGAGCCTGTGGGCCCACTCACATCTCTCCCATAGCTCTTGCAAGGACAGTATTTGATTCCTGTAGAACATAGTGATTCTGAGTGCATATGACCTGTTTAGACCATCTTGGTGGCTTGCCAATGATTCCTCCTTTCCCTTTATCCTGTGCCTCCAATACCAATCAGTCTGTTCCTCCCAATACCAATCAGTCTGTTGTTCCTCCTTTTGAATCTGTGTTGGCCTTCGGCCTTACTTTGATAAAGAATGTAACAGCGGAAGAAACATTTTAGTGCTTCCAGGACTAGGTTTTAAATGACACTATACCTTCTAATTTTGCCCTCTTAGAAGTCAGCTACCATGGAAGGAAGTTCAGATACCTTGCTGGGGTTGGGGTGGTAGAGAGAGAAAGGGTGAGAAGGGTTTGCCAGCCTCCAGCTGCTCCCATCACCCCAAGTGGAGGTCCCAGACATTGCAAAGAGGTCATTTGGATTCTCCAGTCCCAGGGATTCACTCTAGCCAACAATCTCTGAAGTCAATCAAATTTACAGAGGTGTAAGCAAGTGTGTGGGCTGTTGTTTAAATGTTTTAGGCTTTGGAGTGGTTGTTACCCAGCAGTCATAAATAGCTGAACCATCCCACTAAACAGTCTCTTCTATGGGATTAGGACTTTTGTTCTGTCCCATGTACAAGGTGGTATGCGTGAAGGTCTAAGGGGATGGAGAAAGGTTCCAGGAAGGAACGATGTAGAATCTCAGATCAAGGGTCTGTCCTGGAGGTGGTTCAGTGGGAAGACTTATAGCAAGGGCTGCTTCAGGTAGCACAAAGTATTGCCCACATTCTAGAATGAGGAGCATGACTCAGGTCTACTGACATTTCTCTGGGAGAACATGGATCTTTCTTGTAGGCAGAGAAGGCAATTGGTGAGGGAGAGAATGAGGGAGCTGCAGGAAAGGCTGTGGAGTCTTTCCTGCCCATGTTCCAGTATTTACCGAGTATCAGCCACGCTCACTGTGCCCTGGTATAGGACAATCACTTACGTGCTATGGCGGCTTTAGCCTATGCTAGCCTAGAGATAAAGGCTGGGTGAGGTGACCCTTGGAAGGCCCCACTAGGCTGGCTTCAGTCATTGGGAGATAATTCAGTTGCATCTACAAGACATTATCCACCAGGATGGGGATTAGGGGTAGGCAGGGCAAGGAAACAGTAAATATTTATAATCTGCCTGGATGTGGAAATGCAAGGCAAAGACAGAGCTGGGGGAAAATCTGCAGCGGGAGGGACAGAAGGGGTGATTCTGACAGGGAAGAGCTGGAACTGAGGGGCCCATCAGGCAACGGCGCCTTAGGAGCAAGGCTGGGCCTGGGTCTTCCCAGCATAAAAGGGCTGGATCTGAAGATTTTTAAAGGCTTTGGAGAGTTAGTCTGTTTGTGGGGAAAGACTAGGTCCACTTTGTCCACTAATAACAACCAGAGAGCTAGGGCTAGGGCCCAGCGTTAGAACACAGACAGGATGTGCAAGGCCCTGGGTTTGATCCCTAGCTCTGCAAAATATGAACAAATAAAAAGATATAAACCAGGCCAGGGAAGGTACCACCTGGTCTTTGTGTGGTTGCTATAGATAACCTTGGGAATTACTGGATGCTGGTGCTAGATGAGCCCTTTCAGAGCTGCCAGCCCTGTCCTTTCATGTCCCCACAGGGCTTTCTCCACTTGTCATGAGCCATACATGGATCTGATATTTTTCCACACTTCCCTTGAAGGTCCTCTGTCAAGCTCCAAGCAGGGAAGATGCCAATACACACCCATTTCCTGGGGCTACTCCTATCCCTTCTAAGGTCTGAGGACCCCATTTGTCACCTCTTCAGGTGGAATGTAGGAAGACCCTGTCTTTACTCCCTACTTCTTCTGCATCTGGTCCAACAATCCTGGGCCTGGACATCCCCCAGGTGACAGCCCGAGAGGCCTGATCTGCTGGGACCTCTCCTCAGATGCCCTGCTTAGTGCTGCTATAGAGTCCAGT